AGTTTAACAAAACGTGCATGTCTGTAGTTTATATGATGCATAACTTTACACCAGCAGTTCTCACTAAATACCTTGTTACAGATAAAACAAGCAGCTCTGTACTTCACTCTCTCGAGAGCACGGGGAAGCTGTCCTAGAACACAGGCTGTATCTTTTAGGGCCTGTGGAAATACCTTGAAAAAAAGTAAAGTTAGTTTTAAGTTTTCAAAGCTGATGTATAACAAATCTACAATGACTAGCACCATAGTGCAAGAAAGCAGCCACACACCCTCTACAAACTAGTTTTCAAGCCGTAACTCCCCCTGCCCCCGCTATCTCTGCATAAAGTGCTTTGAGAGAACGCAATCTTATTTGCAATGTATAGTTATAGAGCTGCAGGGGGCTCTCCAGCTGTCTCAGGGTTCTTTTGTTGTGGAATACTACACAAACAAGGTAGTTGCATATATAATATGGAGACAACAAAGGCGTGAAAAAAGTGGCTGCGTTACATGGAGAGAGCCCCAGCTTTTCAAAGAAACAGAAGGAAAACACTTGGCACAGCAAACTCTATTAGTGGCTTCAAGAGCCAGGTGCAAAGGCTATTCCTTTATACCTGAAAAACAAAGGCTCATTATCTGCTTTAGGTATTTGCAACTACTTACATGTAATCCCCGAGAACATGTTGTTCTGGTTTGGTAAGTAGTTCAGTACACAGTTCCATTGTACTTTAATATGTGACCCACACACATTTGGTCACCACATTTAAGGCCAAAGCACAGAGAGCAGATATGCCCAAGACTTAGAAAAACTATTGTTAAAATGAAGAAAAAATAAATTTGTGTTTCTTTCGTTTTAATCTCTGAAAGGTATCTTGCTTTCTTTTGTCGGAACATTAAAAAAATTAAAAATCCAACCATGAGGAATAAGGCCAGTGTAATCATTTTCAGTCAAAATTATTAAAAAGTTTAGTAGTCATGAGTTGAAAGCAGTCCTACAATGGGAAATGTATTAGACAACAGGGGATGTAAGCAATTCCAGTAGCTAAACCAACACAGACATTACGGGCAACATAAGAAATTGACTGAGGGAGTTTGATTTTACAGGAAGTTTCCTCCCAGAAAATTCCTGCTCCATGACAGCAGGCAACGGAAGGAAAAAATAAAATTAACTCCAGTCCTTATACCATTTATTTCCATATTCAGTGGAAATGGAAAGGTTTACCATCCATGTGGTACATACAAAGCATAAAGACAAAAGGAATAATAAGTTGTTTATTGGGTAGTAAATCATTCAATGGTGTGAGGGGTTTCCATGGAACCAGCTCCTATTTTCACAAATTAAGAGACCAGCCTGCTCTACATCAAGTGACAGAATTACAGGAAATAGCTTTTCAAATAATGGTACTTTCATGAAAGCTGATTTTGAGACATTTTAACTGGGACTCAGAGCTAAATTTAAAATGCTTTCAAGAGAGTGTTTTTTCCCCACATTTTCCTGTACCATGCAAAAGCATACATTGCAAAAAATCATGTTTTAGGGTAGTGAGATCAGCTTTTCGAAATTATCATTTATTTAACAAGATTCAATTTTGCCTTCTCAGTAGTATTTCAAAGAAACACAATATTTGAAGCATGTGGCATTAAATCTCCTGAATAGTATTAGTGGTAAGAAAGTACAAATGATACCGTGACTAAAAAAAATTTTAAACCTATCAATTAAAAGGATTTTTTTAATTTATTGAAACACCCTGGCCATTTATACAGCTAAGAATTCATGAAGTGTTTGACTTCACTGAGAATATGCTTTTCCTACTTAAAGACATCCACGTCCAGGCATTAATAGCTAGTACAACCTAGCAAGATTACAACTGCAGTGACAGGACATGACAGTGGCAGAAGAGGCAGGGTAAGTCACAAGGCTGAACCTGCAGCAGTTGGAGCTCTTCTCGGTCTCAGAGCACTTGCAGGCAAACAACTGCCCGTCTGAGAAAACATGAGAGTAGGTGCTCAGGGCACTGTGCCCTACCAAAAAGAGGCAGGCATTCATGCAGGGTGGCCTTCAGACCAGCAGTATGGATCTCACTGGTTGCAGCGAGCAATCCATACAACACCAATTGTCACACAGAGCCAGCCTCCTCAGATCACATGCACTCCTTCACATCCCGCAGTTGATCATTGAGAGCTGTGAACCTCCATACACTGGGTCAGCTCATTCCTGTGGTTTTCCTACTTTGCAAACAGCATAACTTCATTTTTCTCTAAGCTAATGCTCACACAGGCTCCATTCATCATTACCCTCACCTCTGAGAGAAGAAAGTGAAATGCAGGACTGTAGAATCTGGGTTAGATGAAAATTAGATCTAAATCATACCAAGATCAGCACAGAACTCACTGTCTCCTCTGGCAGCCATACACACAGCACAAACCAATCTCATGGGATTCTGAAGTAAAGAATAATATCTGTTGGATATTCTAGCAAAAGATCCTCTTTTTTAAAGGAAAAATGTAATTTGCTTGTGAAATGCTGTGAGTTAGGCAAGATTCCTATTGCACAGGTGATGAAAATAGTCATTGCAAATTTCAGGCCGTCACTAAAAAAAACAAACAAACAAAAAAAACCCCTTTATTATCCGAAGGTCAAGCTCAAAACAAGACTGTTTCACCAAATTTCTGAAGGTCAAAAGAAAAGGAAAAATTCAATACATAAATATATACATTCATCGAATTGAAGCAGTAGTTATTGCGGAAACAGATTTGACAGAAAAGATCAAGCATGGTTTTCCCAGAAGTAGAGTTTCTCAACTCAGCATTTTAATTTTAGCAGTTTGCAGCAGCAACGCTGCAAGAGCTGGCATAAAATTAAGCTCAACTGTAAGTGGTATAGTTATGAGTAAAATAAAATAATCCAAATTACTAATACAAAATACATGACTGTGTGTAAGTAAAAAAAAGAAAGAAACAGACCACATTTACTTTCTATGCAAAGTACTTTGGCATGCATAAACTTTTGCCATTTAAAAAACTGCCTGGCTATTGGGTGGAATTCAATAATAATTACATTTTGGATGACTGGGGTAGAGAGAAAAAATTTCACGAACACACAGATTGACAGTAGACTTTTATTAACATATCTTACAATGTCGATTATTGTATTCCTAGTTTTATACTCTTCTGATGTGTTATAAAGATTGATTTAGATTCTACAGTAATGTACTGTACTTAAATGGTCATTCATACAGGATATCACACCAGAACATCTGAGTAATACACACACACACCACTCTAGTTTGGACCTGTTATTTTTTCAAGGTTAGCTTAGTAAAGTAGGATTAAAAAAGTTATGGGGGAAATCAAAATTCTTGTTTAGCAGCATGCAAGGATATTCAAGTACTGTTTTTCAACCAAGTGATTTTTTTTTGTTGCTGTTGTTTTTAAATTGACTGGTGACTAATTCACCAGTACTAAAATAAACACTATGAAATACCCAAATGTTAAAGTTAAGGCTAATAGTTTTACTTCACATCCATATGCACAACCAGAGAACATTCCATTTTAAATAAAACACAGTAATCAAATTCTGGATACAATATCTCTTGTAAATATAGCATTGGAGCTTCAAACTACAGATTACTGAAGTTCATGAGCCCTGTAATAATGTTATGCTGGAGATGTAAAGAATCTTTTCGCTCTTTAACCACACTTACAAAATGGCCTGATATTCATAATGAGCAATGCAAAAATATTACAGGCAGAACTTATAATACAGTATCAAAAAAGTAGTATTTTGGAAAAGACATAGCCATTTAGTTGGTGAAACAGGGTAATTCTAATCTTACAGGAAGTACTGTAATACTTTTGAAATATATATATATTTATATGCATGTATAAAAACCAGCATCCTTTATTGTGGGTTTTGTTGTTGTTTTTTTTTTAATTGCAGGTATCCAGAAAAACTTGTTGTATTTATGTACTTTTCCTTAACTGTCCAGTCGCCTTGATTGCTATACAGTCATTTTATTTCCCCTATACACTTTTCACTAGATAATGACTTCCACTGGGGAACCGTTTTCATTATGTATGTGGTTTTATCATAAGATGTTTTTATTTTACACATATAAATTTTATTTTACACGCAAGCTATGAAAATCAAAACTACCAGGAACTGCTTGGTAGTACTGTATGAAATAGCCAACAAATGCCCAACACTTGTGAAAAACATTAGTAGCAATATATTACATACCAGTATTTTAACTATAATCTTTCCTACCTACATACACTGTGGGGTTTAGCCCAGTCGTGCCTGTTCTCATGAATTTTGTAGCCTTCTAAACATGTTTTGGAATTCTTCCAGCGAGGCTGCACACACATTGGCTGTTCATCTAGGCTATCTCTGTTGATTTTTATTTTTTTTTTTCCCTTTTTAGGAAACCAAGCAGAAAGAACAGTGATTACTCTAAACAAATACAATATAGAGGAACCTCCTGAAATGACAGGAAAGATACAAAATTATGTTTCATTTGCAGAATAGCCTGCACATTTCCAATCTAAACATCCCGAAACATACATCTGGTTTGAAATGACAGGCAGGCTTATGGTTGTTATGCTTGTAAATGGAATCTGCTATGTTGAGTGCCGTACAAATTCTCTATATACAGCAATTTCTGTATGTGTTATCACTAACAGTTTATTCAATTGATATGGGAAAAAACCTTTCTGGAAAAGAAAAAAAAAGAAAGAAAGAGTATGTGTTCTGGATTACATTAAGAGCGATAAGATACCTAATTTACAGCTATTTCACTTATTTATGGAGAAAAAAAAAAAATGAAATTCCTGAGAATGCATAAGTTTTCAGTAATGCCTGAAATATTTCAATAGACATCTCATGATAAGTGAAATACTCATTAAAATTCAACTTTCAGACCAATTGTTACCATGCAGTCTCACAACCATTTTACAAATCCTGTCTAATTACAAATGCATATCAGGCAAAAACCTCAAACCAACACAAAAAAGGCAAAGAAATTTTATCCAACATATTTAGTAGATGTAGTAGACATATACACAGTTTCAGCAAAAGTTGCTAAAAACTCAACTCCATGCAGAGAAAAATAAAAACCTGACAGCTATCCCTGGAGCCTCTAAACAACTGTAAGTAAAATTTGTGCTTCTTAACAATAATGGGCTTTAAAAAAAACAAAAAGAAAAATGGACTACTGAGTGCAATCAGATTGCTCACACCATTTTGAGGATTTAATTTCGAATTATTGTATCGTTATTCAGTAGCAACAGCAGCTAATTTTGCAAAAATTTCATGTTGACAAAGTTCCATTTCCCTTTTATGCCCATACCCCACTCAACCCCGAACCAAAGAGCTAAACTCCCATTCAGTTAAAGCTACTGTCAGTCAAGATGCATTCATTCATGGTAACAGCAATGATACGGTGTGTAGCTGATGATGATTTACAAGCCATTATAATGTGGCCCCCATCTTTTATTGATATGATCAAAAGTATGAGACACCCACTGCTGCTCAAGCACTTTGTATCTTTCCTTGCATATGTAGAGAGGTTTACCACGCCTGTAGGAAGAAAAAAAACAAGAAAAAAAACCCACCCAAATTGTTAATATGCCAAATAAATGGAAAACTGCTTCATTATATAATCAACACACGATACTCATACACCCTTTTTCCTAGGGAAGCGTGCATTTTTATTGGTGAGGGGCTTTTGGTTTTGCTTTTAGTAAGATAACTGCTGGGACTTCCCTTCCTCCCTCTTGGATAGGAGAATCCAGAAAACATCTGCGTTCTCAGGCACGTGTAGCTTGGAAGCCAAACTCCCTCCCTACACTGGAATCCAACTGCATCATTTGATTTAAGGGCCAAACAACAACTTTGGGAGACAAGTGTTTCCCAATGCAACACTCAGAATTGACCATCATTGGGAATGGCAACAGAGGAATCTGTCTGTTGGGTGCCTGGTGTGTATAACTCAATGACCATGATTACACCACCTTTTGGTAAAAAAAAAAAAAAAACAAAACACAACAACAGGGCAAAGAAAAAAAAAAAGGGGGCAAAGGAAAGAAAAACAAAGGAAGAAAGACGTCAGTCCAACTTGCAAAACTTGCAATAAAATGGGGATTTTCCACTCAAGGAAGGCAGAGATCTATTATTATCTGTTATTGGATGTATTGCATAACAAAGCTGATCTACACAGAGGAGCAACAATGAAACGGACTTGTAATGAAAACATTACCTAAGATCTCTGTCTTCTTCACCATGTGCATCTAGATAAACGGAACCCCAAAGGCAGAAACGATGGCCTCGTATGATGATGATTACAGATGCATTAATCAAAAGAAATATTCCTGTCCCAGCTCCACAGTTTTGAGAATGCTGTAATATTAAGGGTGTGGAAAGGGAAGAGTGCAAAGATTCCGTTAGTGTCTGTGAACTTTATGACAAAAAGAATTAAAAAAAATAGTAATTAGTTTTGCTTGAAATAACATACACACATTATTTACTAAGAAACAGTTTGACAAAGGATAGCCTGGCCCAAAATTCTCCAAGCAAACTAGAACTCCATGTCTTGTGCTGTCATAACAACACCTGCATACAAAAATTATTCCCTACTCAAAAAGGGAGGATATTTGTTATCATGTAAAAACAGAATTACCTAACAAAAATAAGCAAAAATATTCTCTACAATATTTTGAATTTGTTGTTGTATAGCAAACTGTATAGCATGACCAAATATTTTTAATAGATGGCAAGAATAAGAGAAAGTATTCAGAAAAACTTAGTATTACCTCTTTTGCAACAGTCTGTATTGCTTAACATTAATTTTCTCTATCCATGTTCTAGTCTATGGCTCTACAAATCCAGTAATAAATTTTTTCTTTTATAATTCTTGCTTGCTTCAATATGGCATTCATCTCTATGAATGGCACAATCTGTATTAACTCATTTTAGCAATTAAAAAATGTGCTCTTCCTATATAGTTTTATTACAATTAGGGACTATAATCCCATCAACTATAATAAAACGTAGTTAATTATCTAGATTTTTAATTCTTTTTTTCTAACTTTCTCTTTTCATGGAGCTTGACACCTTAAATATAACTGTTAATTCTATTTTAAATTTTGCCTTCCTCCTCCCACCAGTATGAGAGAGAAAGATGAGTTCAAACAATTTAAAAAATGTCCAAGATCTCTCTGAAATTTCTTTGGGTTTGATTTTATGCCCCATTTGTAAATATCTCCCCAATAAATTCCCCTCATGGTTTTGTAAAGCCCATGTAGTTCCAGCCTTCTACTGACTGTTCTATGGTAGGAAACAGAACAGCTGTCAAAGCAAACCTTTATCATAGACAGGAAAACAATACTAGATGCTGCCCAACTCGGGTTCCTGAACAAACATATATACGCTGACTTCGAAAACTTTGCTGCTGCATTAAAGTTGAAGGCCTTAAAATGATGCTTATCTAGCTATAGTCTGTATAGCCCTAGTGGATGGTCAGGTATGTCAGAAAGTACTCTATAAAAGGAAAAAAAACCAACCCCATACATTGATATTCTTATGTATGCAGAAAGCAAGGAAACAAAACAGAGGAAAATTAAAATAATATACAAATAATGAGAATATAGGCAAATTTCAATTGGTTATGAATCAAAACTGTGTGTCAAGATTACACACAATGGCTTTGTAGGAGTTTTTCAAACAGGTGAAATAAGCTATGGGCTTAAAAAGGTGAATAAAATTGCTCTCTAGAATCCTGTCTAGGTCCATCTATCAGAAGTAAGCACTAAACATTATTATTGGGGGTTGGACTAGATGACATCTAAAGGTCCCTTCCAACCCAAACTACTCTATGATTTTATGATTATATAAACATGGTTAGATAAGAAAACCATCAAAACTGAGCAATGGAGTTAAAAACTACCCATGAGTGTGAGAATCAATTACAGAACTTGAATTAACTCTCTCTTACCAGTACACATTCACAGTAACTCTGTTGTTTGCAGCATAGTCCTTTCAAGCATACAAAAGTACCACAAACTAGACAAACAGCAGGGTCTTTAGGGACCTTGGTACAAACAGTACAAGTCTTTCTGTGATAATACTGAAAAATGGTATTATAATTCTCAGGCAACTGAAGGAGGCGTGGTAAGTCCCACTTAGGTTCCTGGATAAGCAAAGCCTACAAATAAGATAAGGACAATTTATCAGTTCTGCACATTCATTTACGCATTTATATTTTCCAATAAAAGAGAATACCAAAGGCAGGAAGCATGCAGTTTAAAAATCTCTCGTGTCCGCATTTCACAAACGTAGAAGTCAAAAGTCACCTTGCAATTGTCACCTGCCTCTAGCTGAACATCCTCCCCAACTGTGGTCACATTTCATCTTTTGTAACAGGTGCAAAATGGGTGCTAGCCTTTTCCCAAGGACGTTTTCTAGATGTGACACTTTTTAAGTGCAAAAATCTTTATAGCTAAACCAAGAGGATTAAGAATGACCTACAGGGAAGACTCCCACTCACTACACTGTTACCTCGGCAACATCAATACACTGCTGCCAAACCCTGGCACTGACTATGAAAGCTGTCTCCTAGCAAAAATTAATCTAAAACTTTCAAAAACAGAATTGAAGTTTGGCTCTGTAAATGGTATTTCAAGACGTCTGCCTGATATTCAAAACTGTGTTGCACACATGAATTTTGAGGCCATTAAGAATTTACCAGTACTCACAAATTTTTGATAAGGCAGGCACTACCTAAATACTGGTTGAAGCTTATCTCTTCTCTTTTGTTCTTAAAAACACTGTGCAATTTTTATTTTTTTTTAAGACAGTAATGTGTTTTCCTTCAACCTACTCATTTGTATTGTGTTTATAACTGATGGGCATAGGGGTCAGATGGGATCTTTTTTGCAAGGTGTAAAATTTTTTGAAGAGTGCATGACCTTAGAACCTAACTTGCAAAAAAAGAAAAAGGGAAAATTTCATTTGTACCTGGCTCCTTTTCAGTCATGGAAAGGACGCTACCAGTTTCACTGCAATCTCTCTCAAATGCCTATCAGATTGGCAGCAACTGTATTTTGAGATTAACCCAAATACATTCACAATAGCCTACCATGCCTGCAAACATGCAAAGGCAGGTACAGACCACGTTGCAGAGTGAAGATGCATCTGGCTTGCCTCTTTTACACCATAAACTGAGGAGAGGGGGGCTTGAATTGTTGAGATGCAACTCCTTCACAAAAACAACGCAGTAATGTTGAAACATTTCCATTTCACAATTGATACTCCAATTGCACTGATTCAAGCCTAGGTATTGTTTCTTTAACCTTCAGAGAAGATGTACCATCTTTTATCAGTCAACTATTAAACAGCTTTTATCCTTTTGATCTTTTTCAGTATTGCAACTGAAGATGCTCAAAAATATTAATAATGTCTAACAGGCAAGATAAACTTCTGATAAGTGTTTTCTTAAAAGACAAAGTTTCTATTACATGCCCTTGATACGTTTCAGATGCAGAAGATATGGGTACACTTAGTACCACCTAAGGATAGCATTTCTATTTTCTGTTTCCAGGAATCATGTAAAAACCAGATAGGTTTTCTTATTCCTGTTTTTAATCAATCCAACCCAACCCACATCCACTAACGAATATTTCTGATTGTAATTTCTCTCTCATTTACAAGTCAGGTTCTCAGATCCTTATCCAAAACAACAGTGCCTGTGCACAGTGAACCAAGGAATAAAAAGTTGCTTCCACATCAGGACTATTTTGGAAGAAGTAATTTTGCTACATACCTTTGCTTGATCTGGATGTCTACCTGCAAACGAAGCCAATTCTGAGCACCACTGTGATATCATGTCAAATGCTGGCACTGGCCAATCGAGACAAGAGGCACTGGTGAACTGATGAGCTGACTGAAAAGATGGTAAGAGACCCAGGCAGCTTGCAAGAACTGTGAATTCTTCATCTTCCTTTTAGGTATGAAACCAGAGAGGTTTAGATTAATACCTACACTATGAATTTTTCATATATTATTAAAAACGTATCTATTCCGATACAAAAGGTAAAGACGTGCTAGCACAATGATGCTAATAGTCATGTTCAGACACACAGAAAAGCTTCCATTTTTTCCAGATTACATCAAACTGGATTCTCAAAACACAACAAAACTGGTCAGGAAAAAAACCAAACCGAAACAAAACAAAAGCAAAACCCGAAACCCACACAAACCCACAAATGCAAAAAACAGAAACAAAAAAAGAAAACCTCTTGTATTGTAGCTGATTTAGAGATGAGGGGATTTTGAGGCAAGGAAACGAAGGCGCTGACCTGCAGCAAACTCTACTGAAATCAGTCATGGATCTTAAACATACTTGTCTGCTGATGCAATGTCTCTGATAATAAAGTCCAAGTATGAACAGACATTAAGCAAAATCAGGACTGAATTCCAGTCTGTGTGGAAATTATGCTATCTCTGCAAATGCCGGACAAGTTTTAACAGTATGTTGGTATTTTATGAGACAAGCAGCTACGACCGGATAAAATAAGCACGTGTTTGCTGAATTTGAAGAATACAGAATACAGCACTTTTCAGGGGAACTGCCTTGCAAACAAATTTATACAAGACAAAAAATGCTGCAGAGCAATGCTATAAAATGTATTAAAAAAAAAATAATCTTAGGATAGAAAATACATACCATGAAAAAGACAACTTAAAAGTCTAATTTTTGATCTCTAGCTTTTAAATGAAAATACTTGAGTGTGCCACTCAATCTGTACCTGGCAACTAGGTAAATCCCCTCCAAAAAGATGGTGTTGAAGAAGGCTTGTGATCCTGAGGAAAGGCAAGCAGAACTGCTGCAGATAGCACTCTACAGAATCAGGATTTACCTACGGCAAAGGAAGCAATTACTAAATTCTGCCCCAGGTAAGTTATCTCCTATGTAAGAAACTCCAATATGAACCAAATGTTTTTTAAGCGTACTATATAAACCACTGCATGCAACGCAGATTCCAAAGGCCAGCATTTCACTAATAATCTGAAAGAACTCTGTGAGTTTTCTTTCCTCCTTGACAAATGTTTTTTCTAATTAAATATTCAGTTTTCCAAGTTTCTGAAAGGTCTTTCATACATATGATTAAAGCCCACAATTATAAGAAGTGTTTGTCAATAACTTTCTCAACACAGCACTGGCTACATATGATATTAGTAAAAGAAAGATTTGCACAGACAAACTGTCCCAAAGGGATGTGCTTTGATCTAGAAAATAAAGAGTTGTACTGCACTCTTTAGCAAGATCAGAGAAAAATCATTATAACAACGCGGCTGAAAAACTTAAATACGAGACAGAAAGGGGACATGCTGGATAAGTTCTCAAAAGATTTGCCAATACCACTGTTAATTCTTCAGTCTCTCCTCCTTCATACATCTTCCCCTTAGACAGCTCACTAATGACATGACCCAGCAATACTTCCCAAGATTTTTCTCCACTGGATGTATTCTGCAAATAAGAAGGAAAGAAATCCAAAATGCACTGGTCATGAAAAAGAGAAAAAAATCCTGTAAAAGTAACAGCAATGAAGTATGTTTCCCTTTGATCAACATCAGATTTTTGACCTACAAAGATACACATTTGTTTAAAAAAAAAAAGCTACAGAAAGGGCCTGCATTTAGCTTACAGAGTGAAATGTGAATTGCTACTTCAATTACATATGTTCTAAACTCAGTGTTATATGAGAACCCCTTTATAAAGCTGCATTGTTCTAAACTCAGTGTTATATGAGAACCCCTTTATAAAGTTGCATTTCCCATGTTTTTTCCGTAAGTATCAAAATGCTTCCTTTAAAATTAGGAAGAATCACTTTATGGATACATTGTGTTTTGACAGAATTTGAATTCTAATACAACTAATAAAAAATAAAATAGTAACTTTCTAAAATGTACCAACCAGAATGAGTTACAAAATACTTGCTATGTATTCTAAGTTGAAATGAGTCTATCAAAAAATGGAAAGTTGTGTTTGGAATGAACAGTATCTACTACAGATGGAAAAAATATTTAGTGGAAAGAATAAACAGCCACTTAGCTTTGTGCTGTAGGATTTACATTTAAAGGCAATGACTATAGAAAGCCATCAGAAATAGAAAGCAGTATTCCCATAAATATTTTTCTTCTAAGTCATGATAAAACATGGGGAAAACCCAGGGAAAACATGATTGGATGTGAATTTTGAAATCTGTTAGTAGATCATCAACATAAGAAACAATGAGGGAGTGTAACGTTACTGGGATTCTTTAAAAAAATTCCAAAGCAACTAAGTGAGATTAAATATATAAAGACTTCAGCACAACAATGTATATAATTCATCAGTTGGTTTCTTTAGCGCACTTTGACATCAATGATAACTGTTAATTTTAGATCGGGTCTTTACCTTTCAGCATCAGGAAGGCAGACTTGCTGTTTATTCTCATAGTCTAATAGCCAGAGGGCAACATATATTTAAATGGGTAGTTAGGACAAACCTTTCGTCTACATTATTCCTGGAAGTTTACTTCACAGCCATTTACAGTGTGCTTCTTACGACACCATAAGGCACCTTGCAAAGATAATGAGACTGAAGTTGGGAATCAAAAGCGGAATATCCACCTCTCAGCCCTGCTGAGAAATTAAACTCTTAATGTTGTTTTATCATTTGGCATGAACACAGAGGAAAGACTTCAGCTTGTGTTTAATGTCAACGTCTGGAATACCAAACTGAAACAGATTCACTTGGCATTATGCACAGACAAAAGTTAAGTAAGGTGTGATCTGTGTAGTTATTCGAGGATCCAAATGTCAGTATTATCAGCACATAAGAAAAAGTCAGCCTGAACCATACATTTTAAACTATTTGGGCCTCAAGAAACTTAGAATGAACTTGGACTCCTGAACTAGAAACCAGCTTCCCTCATGACATGCAGAGAAAGAATTCATCTGAGGACTATGGCTGGGCTCAAGAAGAGAAGGGCTGCCAAAGGGCTGGGAGAGGGGAATGGGGAGCTGTGCAATTACTGCTGGCCAGTCCTCAGAGGTCTTTGTACACACATAGCGTCCAGGCATCAACAGTATGCAGGAGGAGGAGCAGGAAACTGGAAAGACATTTGGGGAAGGGCAAACGTGCATGTGGGACTTTTGCAACATCTCCGCACTTGGGGTAGGATGGAAGCCAAGAAGGACATAAGCGTAAGAGTCCCTGAAGGCCCGAGGATCACGCAGAGATCACCCTAAGTGCACACTGCGAAGCTGCTGTCAGAACTTGGACCTCTGTACACAGATGATCTACAGGAGACAGACCAGAGGAAGGAGGAGGATGTTTTCAAGGGAGAGTGAGAGATGCTGTCAGTACAGCAGTATGCAGCAGGGAGCAGTGTTCACTTCAGCCTTCTATCTTTTTTGCCCTCCCACTTGGAAAACTGTCAGCCTTCAATGGGCTTCTCACAGAAGAAAAGCCAAAATTCTCAAATTGACAGAAGTTAATCTGTCGTGTTATTTGAATTACCCTAAATCACAACTTCCATTCACAGTAACATACTGTTTAATGTATGCTACTATTTCCCACTCGGCCTTATCATCCATCAAGGACAAGCACACCAGTGAAAATTCCACTAAAATGGACTGTCTTTAATATCAAGAGAGATAGCTACTTCATAAATCCATTATCTGAGCCATTATCATAATTTTCAAGCCTCAAGTACACAGTGTTTTATGTGATGCAAATGCTTTCACATGCTTCTATAAGAAAACATCTTAGTATTAATAAGTAGCAAGCCCACCTACCACATGCCCTAAGTCTATGTTCATACAGTAAAATCTCTCAGGGTAGACAGAAAATTAAGCATTGGAAATATATGTTCAGATAAACTTCCACCTCTGCTCCTAAGGAAAAGGCAGTCCATATTTATCATATGGACTATGAAAGAATATAAGCTGGTAACACTTCAATCTATTTATATGCTTTCTACCACAAACTTTAAACTGCAAAATTATCTATCACTTGGGAATCACTTAAGTACACATAAAAATGGGAAAAACCTTCACCAGCAACAATCTCAAGCAAACGTTCATGAAATTCTAAGAAAATGACAATACATTGAAAGAAAGAGGTGGAGAACAAAATGAAGTACTGCCTAGTGATCTCAAATGCTTTATGCAAGTCCAGTAAAAAAAAAAAAATAAAAAAAATCCCACATAGTAGCATTTTGGCCACCAGATAATTTGTCCTTCGTACCCTGGAGTTGTGACTGACCAGTATGACAAATCTAACTTATATATGAAAAGCAGGTCATGCTTCTCAGTGTGCATTTCATTTTACACCCAGCATAACCTAAGGCCCGGCTGTTGTATAAAGGGTTACTCGTCCACCCATGTCCTCTCCTGGCCCCAGCACTTCCATCCTTTCCCTTAGTCTGGCATTGGCACTCTTCTGACCTTCCGGGGAATCAATCCGCAGAGCAGAAACCTAACTGAAGGATTAAATGAGTGCCAGTGCAGGGAAATGAGTCTTTCAGGGGGAACCGACATTCAATCAGCTGACTGAAATAGCAACATGAGCCTTCACTTTACCTGTAAATGCGATCAAAGGGAAAGGAAACGATAGTGAAATATCTACCTGCCTAGCCTACAAATTTTCTTCTCTGCCTCTTCATCACAGGAACACTCTAGACCACACAGTGAGAGAAATTTATATGGCTAGCCACAAACAGCATGAACAAATACAAGAAAAAGACGGAGTCTCTTCTCCCACCATCAAGCTTGCCTGCTTTTCCTGTAAAGGAGTGCATCACATCAACCCATGGTTTATCTAGGAAGGCTACAGTTTCACAGGAGGGAAAGCTGCATTTACTCAATACCATTACAACAAACTCAAGACTGAAATTATAGAGATAGAGCCTCAAATCTGAAACTCTGTTCTGGAACTGGATATTAATTGTGAAGCTTTTAAGTCTCATCACATACCAAAAATTGCACACACAGAAACAAAATACTGGATTTTTGTGAAGCAGAAGCAAATTATTATAGGCAAAGCAGAAGCATCTGTTACATTGCTACCAGTAATGCATAAGCACAATTTCAGAAATGTTTTAAAAAATTAACCAACCTTTTGGAGAGCTCCTGACTCTTTCCATGCCATCCTATCTTCAGCACTGCATTTAACAGAAAGTGCTGCCAAGGCTTGAGTATACAATAAAGTGAACAGCACTTTTATAATGCAGGTGAAGTGTTCTGTAAAACAAAGAAAGTAATTTTTAAACACTCGATATTTTCAGCAAATATACTGATTACAGCATCTCTAGTTATGGAAATTATGCTTCTCAAATGAAAAGCAAGGGCTATACAAAAAGTACAAACCCCCAAAACATACAGGACAACATAAATATATTTTCTGGTTCTCAGAAATGACTTGGCAGCCACAGTGAATGGAACAAATACAGGGCAAGTAATTTTCCACTGCTCCGTATGTTCATCTTAATCGTGATCAGCAGTGACTTCCTCCTAGGGACCTGGTGATAGTACAGAATTGTATTTTGTTCAAATGTTACATCAAGCTAAGCTACTGATTACTGATAGCTACAACTAATTGGGTGCTGTAGATGTAAGTAAATGCATAACCTACCATCTCTTCTGGTAATGATTAAACCATCTGAGGTAATTTATATTCATACAAATACTGGAAAAGTTTGGTTCCCAAAGAAATCACTACAAGGAGGACATTTAGCATACTTCATTTTCTGTCCCTTCACTTCCACATGTGGATACAGCCATACCTGCTGCAAATCACTCTTCAGTGAGTATCTATTTACTGGACCTCACATTAACACAGGAGGATAAAAGACAGACTGTCATTTTAGACCTTACCTTCTTTTGAAAGATCTTTATTGTTTATAATTTTTTGTAATATTTAAAGGATTATTATCTGCTACATATAGGCTACAGGAGAAAGGCTTTGAAATCTTTCTGGGGAAGCTAGTAACAGAGGCAAAACAAGACTTCTTAAAACTGGAACAGAAGGAAAGGTGAATGTGATCATTCTCTGAAATGAAGATATGGTAGCAGTCCTTTATTCTCTTTTTACTTTAGGTTGTATTTCCCATCCCTAACCTGATTTTTTTATATCTAGCAGATCAAAGAAGTTTCTGTAATCACTTACACCATTCCTTAAGCACAAACATAACTATAATATATATCAAAAACAATGTATACAAAAATGAGGGTTTTAAAAAGTCCTCTCAGGCTTTGAAGTCAAGCAAAACAATTTTATTTACATAAGCACTTCACAAAAATTGGGTTAAATTCATTCTTTCTTCCCAAAGGATTTAAACAAGCTTTGTATGAGAAAATGAAAAGGAGGTAAGGGAGATGAAACTCCTTGCTTCTCCTTTCCTGTATTTAATATCAAAACCCACCACTGGGTTCTAAAACAAACACAACCAGGACTTGAGTACATAATTAAATTTGTGAAAT